GCAGCCATATTCAGATGATAGCATATTCTTATGTTGGAATGTATTGCTGGAAAGAATAATCTCCCGCTCTGCTGATTTTGCTAAACAAAGAACTTAATAGGTTTCTCTTGTTTCCTATTTTAACAAAAAAAGGCCAACGCATTTTTTGCATACATTTTTTCTTGCAAAATAAGCTAAAACTGGCTAAAAAGATGCAGGGCAAGGTTTTTCTGTTGAATCAGAGGCCACATAGAAAAATTTTTAGCTGATTTGGAAGAAAAAAACATCCAGAACGTTTGTTCACAAAGTGTTATTCCAAGCCCTTCATTACTGAATGATATTACGTTTTTGTAGTTTAGTTTTTATAACTTCTTTATTGAAAATATTGCCTGTTTTTGTTTTCAGGCATATTCTTGCAGCAGTTCATTTCAATTTCAACCTGCACAGGGACTGCACTGGTATCACAGAGTTCAGGGTTGGAATCCCTGTAAGCCTGAATTTTTTCAGGCTTTCTTTTCACAACTGCATAAGTTGTGTATTTGACTGTAGTGATCTTTTCTGTTTATAATTATTTTCTATAAAAATTGGAGAAAGGAATGAATTTTGTGGAAAAAGGAGTAAAGATTTTCATCCTCTCAACCCTTTCTATCACCTTTAGAGGAGCTGCTGAATTGTACTGTATTCAATTTACTTGTTTTCCTAGTTCCTGATGAACCAGTTGCAAGCACGAGTTCAAATACAAGAAAAAGGGAAAAAAAACCCAGAAAACTCCCAGTGATGGCCCCAAGAAAGCTCGCTATTGCTCTGCATGCAAAAATCCCATGAAAGGACACAAGAATATTAAAGACTGTCCAAAGAATAAGAAACAGGGCTAGAAGTTTAAAAGCCATAGTGAATATTGTCTCTGTTGAGCTTCTGAAGGGAACTATTCTTGTACAAGTTTTGAGTTATACTACGTATATACATGTGTGTATTGTGATTGAATTGTGGTCTATGTATATACAGACAAATCTGGTCAGCTATATCTATCCTTTTGCAATTGAAATCAGAATTCTCGTACAAATTATGCATAGCCTTGAAGGTTGGTTAGCAATAATAACTCTTTAAGGAAGCTTACCAGCAAAATTAAAGAAAAGTCAAAAGATTTTGGTGGGAAATAAATTGAAACCAACCAGTCAGCGGGCTGTGTGTATACCGTAAATCCTCTATTAAGCCCCCTGTACTGCCACCGAAATGATCCCCACCATCGAAATGATCTCCGCCACCGAAATGACCCCCAATCACAAACCGAAATGATCCCCACCACCGAAATGATACCGGCGGTCACCACCGAAATGATCCCCGGAATATTGGGAATGAAATTAAGAGGACTACAAAAACTGGACAACAATTTAGAGCGTGCTTTTTATTTATTTATATTGCATCTTTTTTACGGTGTGTAATTTACCTTTTTACTGCTCTTTATTTTGCAGTAAATTGTTTGTTTGTTTTTTTTGGTTTATCACTAGACAATACTTGTTCAAAAGATGCATTTCACTTATGTCTTCTATTTCTTCGAATTTCTTTTCATATTTTTGCAAGAAAATTAATCTTCTTAATCAGTGTATAGAACTGTTATCAGTCTAATTGCTTTCTCTATTTTCCTCTGTTTAGAATCGTGTTTGCATGAATAAACGAAGAATTTAGAATAGGTAGCAAAGTCCCAGGTCCATTTAAGCCAAGGTTCCGAAAATTTAAGACGGGATCATTTCGATTGCGAATAGGTATCATTTCGGTGGTGGGGATCATTTCGGTGGTGATTGGGGGTCATTTCGGTGGCGGAGATCATTTCGATGGTGGGGATCATTTCGGTGGCGGTACACCCCCCCCTTTTCAGAGGAGGAAAGTTAATAAGCCCCCCCCCCTCCCCCAATCCTTATTCTTCACAAAACAATTAACGATCAACGTGGACTGATCAGTTGTTTATTCAGGCTGGAGGTTCATATTGTTTTTGGTCTTCGGCCACATGACCTCCAACTTCATATGCTTAACTTTCTCAACTTTGGGCTCTAGTTCTCTGTGGACAATTGTCACCATTTTCTTATAGTATTATAGTATCATAAATTTCAAGGTTGTTTATATAAAACATTTAAATGTAAGAGATAAAAAATGTAAATATAAGAGGAGTTTTCCAGAGATTTTCATTTGTAAGTTGTGTACGACAAATCAATACAAGTAACCATTCTCATAAAAATTACCGAGGAACATGAGGCGGAAAGCACATTTTTGAAGAAGAATTTTGTTTTTGTTACTTTTAGGCTCCCACAACTGAATTAAATACTTTTGACAGTGACTGTAATTGTACAACGCATTAGTCTACTATGTCTCATACCACGGTATTTTTGCTCAGGTGATGTGTTTTGCTAAATTAAAGATGCCCCCCCTCTCTATTAAGCCCCCCCTCAAAAGTGCTTGAAAAAAATAAACCCCCCGGGGGGCTTAATAGAGGATTTACGGTAGTTGTGTCTAGAACTAGGGGATTTGAGGACCTGACCTTCTCCTATCAGTGACACATCTCCTGATCTCTCTTTCTCTCGTAACAAGGGCCTATAGGAGATTGCTCTTTTTCATAATGGAGAGGAAAAACGTTTTGTGCTAGCAGTGGCCTCTTTTGGCGGGCAAAAATAAATTTCCATTTCATAATGACTTTTTTATTATTTACAACGAACACCCCTGGGGTGGTACTCAACAAATTTCTATGTGGGGAGGTTCCACCCCGAGGTCCAACTCCTTACCCTTTTATATACCATTTTTCACGAAAAAGGTGCCCCTTTCCTATACCTTCAATTCTATTGACATTTGGTACCCCTTTCACATACCTTGTTTAGAACTTAGCATCTCTTTTGACTGCTTTAAATGAACTGTCTTTTAAATTGGAATCAATCACACAAATAGAACGTTTTCTTGACTTTATAAAGCCATAAAATTCATTTGTGAGCCCTACTAGCCATTTCACAGACCCAAATGATAGATTTCCCTACCCTTTCATATACTTCAACGAGTAAAATCCCTACCCTTTCATATACTGAAGCCAGAAAAAGATACCCCTTTTAGGCGGAGCCTCCCTTTATAGACCATTATGGTGAGTACCCCCCGGGCGAACACCCCACCAAAGCTACCGTTCAAAATGAATCTACTGTTTACGTCAACAAAAGATGAAGTAAAACAGACAGTTAAACAGATGATCAACAAGTTAATAACAGAATAATTTACAAGGGAAAAAGCCTAAAAAGTTTACTTAATCATCTTCGTCGAGTTCGAATCCAGTGTAGGTTTCATCTCTGCCGACAGGAAATTGTTTTCTTATTTCCGTGTAAGCATACGCAGGAAGAGGAATTCGCTTGTAGACAAGCCTGGAAAACTCCCTGTAGGCAATGCTACGCAAGTAACTGTAAAAAAAAGACAATAAGAAAAGTATTTATGTATTAAAGAATTTGTATGTTCTCAAATCGAGTGTGTACCATATCGATTGTATTTGACTCCAATGCGGTACAAAAATAACAAAAACTATCTCACCTTTCTTCGTTTATATCTCTGTTTGGCTTTGGTATTGACACGTTCGCCAGCCATACGTAAGCTCCACTTTTGAAGGCAGACAGGACCAAAACCAGGATGTTGTGTTATACACCTTAAGGCCGTTTCGAGTTGAATATCTTCAAGAACACTTTCGCTACACATGGCTTCTTTGGAACCAACTACAGCTCCTGGCAGCAGTAGCACTCGCTCAAATTCTGAAGGACAACACGGCTGCAGTTTCCACAGGAACACCTGTAACAATCAAGGTAGCTAGAATCATACAAAAATGACACTTTTTGTAACGACAGCTAAGAACTGTCATCATACATTACAGCAATCACGTCGCCAAACAAGCAAGTACTCGATTATTTACATAAGCTTTTACCTCGATCTTCACACGATCATACTACAAATTTGCCGAGACTCACCAAGAATCCACATGAACTGATTCTTCAAGTCTTCCCCGTAGTTCTTGTTCTAGCTTATTTGTTTCATCAACTTCTTCTTCGTACTTTTTTAGCTATTCTTCATCAGCCAAGGGTTGATCGGCATATGCAATGTCATTTTCCAGGCTTTCACATGAAACTTGCGACTCGCGATCACTTTGTTCATCTTCCACTTCGGCCAAATTTGCCTCAGAATCTTCTGAATTAAGACTCCTCTCAGAACTTGAATCACTTACAGACATCTTCCGTTGAATTTTGGTCGTTTTAGTATCCCGCTCGCTTAAAATCAGTTAAAATGATTTTCCCTTTATCGTTTCTCGGTCATTTACTCATGAGTTCGCGGCAGATGTCCTCCTTCGATGACGTCACAACAACATTCGTACCCAGCTCCCACGAACCTCGGTAATGGGACACAAGAGACCTAACTTTAAACAGCCATGGAAACGCGAGGATTTTGTCAATCACGATAATTTTTTCGCAAAACTAATCAGAAAAATAAGGAGATTTCATTAAGCGAAAAACATTTTTGGGGGTTAGTTGCACTTTAAGACGTCAGCGTGGAATGCTTATTTTATTATATGATCACTGATCTAAGCAACGTTGTTTTATTATTTTGCTAACTTTGGCTAACAAGCTAATTAAGTAGTATTATGTAGTGATATATTTAATGTGTCGCACTTAAATAGACTAATTATTTTACTATAATAGTATATTTTCCTTTAAAAAAAAATCACACTTTTTTACGGACTGTTTCACTCCTATAGACACTAATCAAATACCGCAATTACTCAGAATCCACACAGCAGAAATATATATACATGTATATTATTGAGGCCTTCCAAGGGGGGTTCTGGTGTCGCTTTGTCGCTTGTTTTCGATGCAGGCCGTCGCCTGTTTCGTTGGGGAAAATGTCGCTGTCGTTTTTTCGCTAGAAAGGCAAATGTCGCTGTCGGTATTTCAATTTTTGCGATGCAGAACCGTTGAAAAATGTCCACAAATATTTACACTTACTTGATTAACCTTGATTAAAACTGCTGCACTGATAGCTAATTGTGATACTGAGTGCCGATATTGTAACTATTCTTCCATACAGATGTCACAGATGCGCTTCACGGAGTCTGGTTGTTTACCATTTACCCAAAAATTCCGGAAATTTCGGTCAGAATGTAAATGGTAAGACAATGGACAACTTTGGCTCGACCAACCGGAAAATTTCCGAAATAAACGGAACGTCTTGAAAGGTAGTTCAAAATTCCCAACCGAAATTTCCTAACGGAAATGTGTGTACCATTTGCTTTTTTATCTACCAGTTCCAGACCCTACGCCAGTTTTGATGCGTAAGCGTGGTTACTCAGCTCGTTTCGCAAACGGAATTTCCCTTTCTGGAGTTTTGCTTACCATTTACACAAACTGTTGAGCAACCGATTTTCCCTTGTAAATGGTAAACAACCTCTATCTCAGTAGCCTCGCATTTGTCAACTCTCCCCAGTCTTACGGACTTATTACATAAGGTCATACATTGGCGCAACTCTGGCTTACTACAGACACTACATGCTGATCGTCTGAACAAAGGATCAGAGAAAATAGTTAATGACCCGTTAATGTGCGTATGTACAGTGAAATAAAATGTCAGTTTGCGCCAACAGTGGATATTTAAGGTAATTACAAATCTAGATATTTGCAGTAATTACAAGTCCAGTCTGGTCGGTGGACGGATATTTCTTCCGACTCGAGACGTGGAGATGGTTGGCAGGGTCACAGAGTCAACACAGACCACACTGTTTAGCTCATCGTCGGAGAAGTCTGCTTCATCTGCAACAGAATCTGTTATGCTTTCATCACCTTCAATGCACAGATCCCTTGTCTCTCTAAAAACACTGACAACTCCTTCGTAAATTTCTTCTGGCAGTATTATTTCTTCGCTAGCCGCTGGTGTCAAGGCATCAAGTACCAATCCCACAGCTTCCTTGGGTAAATCGACTTGATCATTTCTTTCAAAAAGGTAGATGTTTTGTTCGGAGGGATAAAAAATATTGATCTTTGGCAAATAAGCTCTATGCTGGTCTTGGTAGATATCTTCAGCTGCAACTCCAAGATAAAAAGGTGTGGAAATAAGTGTCCTTTCAGTAAGGCCGACAAGGCCTGGTTTTATGGCCAGAACGGTTTGCGAAGAAAATAACAATTCAGCATTGGAGACATTGGAGTGCAAGCTGCCTTGCCTTGAGGACGAGGTCTCAGTGGGGAAAGAGAATGACAGTGGTTGCGGTATGGGCTGCGGCCTGGTATAGGAGTAAAGTGGAAGAGTTCCAACGTTGTCCTTAGTGGATTGATTTCTTACGGTCACTTGTGCAACTGGTTGGCCGTAATTGTCACGCCAGTCACGAAGAACCTTCTGATCTCCAATGGGCATGGATTTTGTCGGGAGTTGCGGGATGACTGGAACATCAGTAAAGTGGAGACTGCCACCGTCAGGGAGCTCATAGAATGATGAGGAGGCAGTGAAGTAATGAAAGCCGCATTTGGTCAACTGCTTGACGTTCTCTTTCATCGTTGGACCAAAGAGCTGTGCATATTCAAGAAGCGTCGGTGTAGGGTTTCTCGATCGCATCTTACTGAAAAGGTGCTCCACGACAAGTGTTAGTAAAGATGCAAGTCGCACATGAGAAATGAAGTCGGCATTGATATAGCTCAGGCTTTCCTTCAGTATTCCAAGGGATTCCAGTATGACTTTGACGCTCTGAATGCTCTTTGAAGAGGGTGTACCTTGGGGACCTTGCACGGTAGATGCTCGACAAAGAGATTCTGCTGTCTCTCTCTCCCAGGTGCTTAAGAGTGATGATACGTCACGGAAGGCAGCTATGGCTTGAGAGATACTGTAAATGTTCGGAGAGATTCCAGGCAAATGAATACCGAACGTTTTACAAACAGTATCAGTTTGTTCCAGGTAGAGTGAAAGTGCTGAAGTAGGGGTCACCATGCAGACGCGTCCAACAGCAGTATCAGCAACGTAGATTGTTTTCCCTTCAATACAAACAGCTGTGGGCTGTTCAAAGGAGCAAGAACTTGATGAACCATCTTTAGATGAATTAACTCCCGAACCAGCAATGTCTTTCACAGTGCCGTTGGACAGCAAGCGCAATTTTCGGGCATCTCTGTCCGTGAATATCAAGTCTCCGTTCTCATCAACTGCGATTCCGTGAATGCGCTGGCAGCTGCTCGACTTGTTTGAAACTAAAACTGTCTCTGCATTAGTCGAAAGGTCAATGCGTAGCAATCCTCCCTCGTCGCTTGAGTCTGCCACAAGAAGATTTCCCGTTGCAACGGAAATTCCTAATGGTAAAGCAGAGTCTTTAAGAAGGATCTCAGAGATGACACTTCCTTTCAAGACTGCTCCGTTGTTGGTGATAGAAACTTGAAGTACTCGATGCGTGTGCAAATCCGAAATAAACAACAGGTCAGTGCCAAAGCCACAAACAGCAAGGGGAGTGGAAAGTGGGGTCGAACGTGCAGTGTTCAGTGGAAGAGAAGAAAATTTGGTGCAGTCAACTTTATTTTCTCGCTGTGCCTTTGTCATCCACTCTTTTAGGCGAGCAACCATATCCTTCTTTTGAAGACCAGCCGTGGGAATTTGTCTTTCCTCTAGAGCTGGTCTCAACTCCGAAACCTTCATACTGTTGGGCTTAAGAAATACGGAGGAGCTTAGCGGAAGATATGCGACTCTTTTATTGCCCATGTCTGCGACGTAAAGGACGTTGTTTAGGTAGGCGAGACCTTGTGGATTCATCAAACTGCCACTTACTTCACTGACGTCAACAGGGTAGTGCAATCTACCTTGGAATACCCGAGATTTGCTGTTGTCGGCTACAAATAGCTTCCCTTCAGGTGCTATACAAAGACCGGTTGGATGGTCGACAACACCTCTCGCGTTTCCTTTGTACAAACGGTAGGGTTCGGGGATGAGAGTTTGTGTGATGCGTGGCACACTGGCCAATAGCACACGCACCGACTCTTTGTTGATGGTTAGCAGGTCGGGGACCGACATGCGGTCTCGATTTCGCACTGCACTCAAGGTGACAACGCTTCTCATCTTCTCTCGCATCGCTGGGTTGGGGTCATTGTACAATGTTCTTAGGTTCGAAAGGTTGAATCGTTCTCCGCCTTTGTTCAGGAACCAGTTGGAAAAGCTGCCCTTTAAGCATTTGGCCACGTGGGTTGCCTCTGGAATTGGAAGAAGAAAGTGAAGTTTTGGAGGGAATGTTCCACCTGTCTTTTCCTGTATCAGCTTAAGCATAGCCTGTTTGTTGTTTTCTTCGCAATCCGCCGACCAGGCTAAGACCAACAATTTCACACATTGGATACCGGAGTTGATGCAACGAGTACACGCTCGCAGTGGTTCTTCAACAAATTTCTGGCCATTACTTTGGCAAGTTTGACAGATACTGTTGTTTGAAGCGCAATCTGAATAATAAACAAGATATTTTATGTTCAGAAAGTATAAAACTTTGTCGGCAATAGCTAGAAGCCTTGCAGGTGCATAGACTTTCTTTAAAGATATTATTATGCACGTCCCCCACCATGTATCACAAGATCGAACAAGGTCGCTTTTTTAATCTTTCATACACAGGTCGATCCTGCCCACTTGAGTGAACACTTTTCCTTTTATCGATTCTAGTTATGTGGTTGCTACTTTCTAAAGATCTTTGGTATTAATCAGGTTACATAAGAAATTTCCGAAGAAAGAGGCGTTTAAAATGGGAGGTATACGATATGATTTGGCGTTTAACTGTCAAATGAGGATTCCTAGCTCTATTTCCTACCTTGACAGTAGCTACTGCAAGCGTCTCCTGATGAAACAATGACATTCATGCAAGTTTCGGTTGAAACTCCCAGGAGGCAGTGCAAGCAGATTTGAAGCTGTTTCACACGCGTTTCTATTCGTTTCTTTACCGCGTCCCCATTGGTTTTCTTGGAGGTGTAGTCATTCCCAACAGGTAAAGAAAGCTTATTGTCAAGTGCTGTCACAACTAAAGCATTCGCCTCGACGACGAAAGAATCACGAAGAAAACTTGGATCGGGCAAAGGATTTTCTTTAGCAAAGGCTAAAGTTACAGGAAACAGTAGTCCAACAAGTTCTTTCAATCGCCGATCAAATTGCAAACCAGGTTTGAGGCTCATACCATCAGTAGCTAGCGCTGCAGGTATCAGGAGCAGACTGGAACTCTGTAAAAGGGGTTGTACCTCACTATCTTCAAGTTGGGCAAGAAGGAGGTAGGCAATCAGAAGGCTTTTAATGATTCCATTGCGGGTGGTGTAGCCTGCCTTGTTCTTATCCCTTGTGGTCTTTGAAGGTATAAAGGGCAAGTTCCAGTCCTTCCAGTTGAACTGGAATGTCCCACCACGCCCTTGGTTTCTGTGCCCTGGTCCCCTTAATAAATTCATGGTTTTTGGTTTCCCGTGAAATTCCAGAGTTTCCATGTATGTATTAATTGTCCCATCATGTTGAAACTGTTCACGAGGATTTGATGACTTCTGTGCGAATTCAAGAGCATTCTTCAAACATCTGTAGAATATATGGTTCCGTTCGAGTTTCTTTGACTCTATTTCCTGTTGCAGCATGATGACTACAGGATCAAGCTCTTCCAAAGCCCTAAAAGCAAAATGTCGTATTCATGACTGTTGTGTGTCCTGTCATTCCCGTGCATTGCCGAAATATGCTTATCCAGTACAGACGTTAATATGTTGAGTTTATATCACATCATGTTGTTTTAGCTGTAAATATAGTGAGCGGCCGGTCTATGACCGTCTATTGCCGACGTAAACTCCCTTCCATCGCCTACTCGCGTAAAAACATGAACTGTGAAGGGTTTCTGCACTACAAATGACGTAAAACACCTTAAATGTACGCTTTAGGGATGCACACCGTAAACAGAAGTAAAGGAAGTCAGGAGATTTTAAACCAGACAGTGCCAAAAACTTACAGACATGGAAACGTGTACTCGCTGCCCTCACTATCTTCGCTGTCGCTAGTTTCTTGTGTGTTTTCCCACTCTACTTCACTCCTGTATAATATGAACAACGAAAATAGACATCTCAACACTGGCTTGTTTATTACTTTTCATTTTTATTATATCAGTTTCCTCGATTATTTACAAAGCTGACTTTCATTTTTCGTTATAGTTATAACCTTCTAACTCAACCTCAAATTTTTGACAGCAAACATATTGGAAGCTAAATTAAACAAATAAAAAAAGGAGACTACTTGTCAATAAGTAATCAGCCTAAACAATACGAAAATAGCATTAGTAGTCAATTATCGCCTCTCTTCGAAGAACAATATTGATCAATATTCCTTATTTCTGTACGATTGCTCAATAGCTGGCCGGCCATGAAGACAATGAAGCATTGGCTTCACTTACATATTAAGATCATTAAGCTCGTCATTTGCTTCCGAAGATGCCGCTTGCTGGTTAGAGAAGATGGACGCAAACATGGTTGAAATGTTACCACTTCTTACGGCTGGTTGACAGTTTTTCCAGTGGCCTAAAAGACATTTATATGTGACATTTTATTATGTGTACGTGCGAAGCATATGCATACTATACAAGACTCCATATAACACTTACAGGGTTCATAAGAAATATAAAAAGCAATCTGTGACTTTGGTTCAACTTATTTGCGAGAAATGTTTACATTTATAAGCCGGTGTTAATTTCTTCCAATACTCTTCAAAAAAAGTTACAAAACTCGAGTCAATAATCTATGTAAAGTGTTCTGTCAGTTTCAGTGGTCGTTCCTTCTACAGACTTTACTGTGGGTAGAGAGTAACTCCTGCATAAAGAACGTGTGGACCTATGTCACCGATGGACCCACAAAAAGTGAAAAACATAAATTGTAGTACTTACTATCACCGAAATGTTTCGAATAGCGCGGGCGATTCACCATCCTCGCCCTACGGCATTTCCCGCATCGAATTTGAAGCTCACTTACAGCTTCGGACCCCGGGAACCGTGACGCGACGTCTGGGGGAAGTAATAACGTATGTTAATGTTTATCAACAGGACATGGCTTGTACATTGACTACAGTTGGTATATATGTTGTGGTCCAATTTATTCCTTGGTTTAAATTCTATTTTCCTTCGTTTTTGGATATGTTAATGCATGACAATGAGATTGAAAGAAAAGAAAAGAAAATTTAAACCAAGGATAAAATTTAACCACAGCATATACAGTATCTCTACCTTTGAATGACGCAGACAGCACATTTGTATCAAGCTTACTTATATTGAAATTTCTGAAACATACTTAATCCGGAATTTTATCCATCTGGTATGTGTCTTACTTTGATTGGAAGGCTAAGGTGGAGGGATCAAGACCGAGAATACGAAAATTAAAGGTTAAAAGTAAACAATAATTCAAAATAAAAACCTTCTTTAAAACTTTTGAAGCGCTCCTTCTGTTCCTCAGTCCTTTCGAAGTCAAAATCGGTTGCTTTAGAAGTAATGTGGCTTCTAAGAGCGCTTAACAGCCGCTCTTCTTGCACTGCCTTTTCATTTCTTCCTTCGGGTCGTTTTTTCGGCTTTTTAACTTTCTTCAAAGAATGGAGGACACCTGGTGCAGCCTTGTACTGAACCTCAACTAGCCGAACTATAAAAAGGAAAAAAGTCATAAAAGCTCGTCTTCTAAGAGAAAATATTCAGACAGCCATCAAAGCCAAGAGATGGCTACTACTACTGATACTTCTCTTCCGGCTACTACTAAAACTTCCACTGACACTACTACCACATAGAACACAGCAATGACCAATCGTATTACTCTCTTAACAGCAGATACTGGTGCAATTGACTTGTAAGCCTGGCAACAACATTCTGCCACTCGACTTCCGTCTTTGCTGTGAACGTTGGCAAGCCCCCATCAATCGCACGTCCGCAGATGCCGATATCCATGTCAAAACTCCCGATGTTAGCACGCCTAGCATCTTGCTCTAGCCCGTACATTTCACGGCAAGCCTTTTTGAATTCACTGAGTAGTCCACCTAATAAAGATGAACACACAATGGTGTTGCGCTTGTAGTGGCACTTGGTGTGCCCAAAGCGATAAACTTCAATAACAGTGTCTAGGTTCAAGGCTGACGGTGTCGAAGATTGCCCCTTTTGCCGACCCTTTTCAGCATTGGAAGGAGCATTCACTTCTGCAGCGACTGCCGCGAAGAGATACCAGGACCACTAAGAAAGCCGGAGATTGTCGTCTGAATACCCGTACGTTTGGCACCGTTAGCCTCATTCATGGAGTCGCTATCCCCAGTGTCAGAGTGAATACGGCGCCTTTTGCTGGGCCGGTCAATTTCACTACCACTCTCTGAACTAGAAGACACCAACAAATGCTTTGCTGTTGGAAAAACAGAGAAATAGCGGACAAAGAAGGCCGTGTTACTCCAGAGAAAAGTTACAGGCAACTAGGGGCCGTTGCGGTGACCCGATGCAGTTGGATAAAACTGTTCTAGTGTCGTGACTTTGTTAAAAAAAACTTTCATTGATTTGTGTATTAGGTCTGTTCTACTGAAAAATTGCGTCACTAGGGGCTTAGCAGAATAAGCTAACGTGATCACAAATTTCCTGTCAATTTCTTCACATTTACGCAGTCATTTACCATCAGCTAACTCGAAAGTCTTCGAAAGGCTGTCACATTTTGATTGTTAGTGTCGATTGTCTCAAAATCGTACCAACCCTCATTTCACCAGTAACCCTTGATTTCATTTAGAATCGCATAATTGAGTCAAATCTCGCATTCTGATTGGTTAACGAAGCGAGGTATTTAGTGTGGAATTGCGAGTTGAAAACGAGGCTAAGCGATATTGTCTCGCATCTACGTAACAACTATCGTCAAATTCTAACACAACAACTGCAAAAAAGGTTTTCTACAATATCATTTTACAATGTTTTCAAAACCATTGTCACCTTTTGAAGATTTAAAAACAAACAAAAGCGTTTTTTTATAGTGAGCGGGAGGTTCTTCCTTGTTTTGACCTGAACTACAAATTCTCGAAGAGGCATAAAAAACCTCTTTCGCTCGCGACAACGAGAAAACAAGAAAATCTTGTGAACACGGCCCAGAAAATGGCAAGCCAAAGTTCAACCAAACAAAACGGAAAAACGACAACGAACGAAGTACCGGGGTCGATTGTCACATACACAGGAGAAGAAATACGTGTAAATACCTTCAAAGACGACAGGGCCCCTCAGTGAAAACACGAAAAAGAGTACGCTGCTTGCAATCGTCCTGAATCGTGATACTTAGAAAAGTACAAAACAGAGCTGAACTTGAACAGCATTTCTAAAACATTTCAAGGTACTTACCATATATCAATCGCGACGTTATACTTTCAGTGTTTTCGTTTGGACACTTCATTTCTTTAAGTTTTGCCACCGAAGAGGTAAAAGGTGTAAATTATTTTCCTTCTCGAGCAAATGACCAATTTGAAAAAAGATGTTATAGATAAACGGCTTGTAAATTCAGTGAAATACCTCTATTTATCCTTACGATTAGTGTAAAGCTTGTTTACATGTAAAAAAGTTTGAAAACAAATGTAAAAACAAGCACAAGGTACAAAAAAAGTTGTCGAAGGTCTTCAAACGTGTACGACTGACCTTGCTCCTATTCGCTAACGCAATGACAGTTCTGACAGTTGACTTTGAATGGCTTTCTGGAGCGCGCGCTCAGGATAAAAACAAACAATAGCTATTATTGCCGTTTTCTTTTCTTTTTTTTCTGATTTTTATTCAGTTATGCGATTCAAGGAAAATCCAATACCTGACTCGTGAATTCCACGTTAAAGAGTCGTTAAATTGCACTTGAAAACCGATATCGCACTCATCGCTTCGCGATTCGTGCGATATCGGTTTTCGCGTGCAATTTAACGTGGAATTCCCTCTTCAGGTAATGAATTTTCCTATAATAGTACTAGAAGTTGTTTTCTTCCGTTTTATCTTCTCTTCTCTTGTGAGACAATGACTGAAGTTGTACAACAATTTGTGACATTTGTGACATACCCACTGTCTAGAATGTCTAGAATGAGCCACGGTAAAGTCTATTCGCATGCTTTTATTCTGTTCGATCATTTTTTATTTTATTCGATCGGATTACAATCTTCTAATAGATCTCTATAATGCAAACACATATCCGCGGTGCGAAGTGGCGGCATAAAAATGTCAAAAATGGCATCCTAATTTATGCATGACTTTATTCTGCTTTTGTCGCTTTTAAGACTCTTTATTTTAAGCGCGGCCAAACTGGAGATCGAATGCTGGGCGCTATAAGTCATAAAAGACATAAAAAAGTTATTAATAATATTAACCTTGATGATTAACCTCTCACCTTTTCTCTTGTGGCTTTTGTCGTCATGTTGGTGTGAGCGTTTATGTCCGCGCTTTAAACTCTTGCCGACCTTGCTGTCTTTGCTGCGAGATCTGTGTTCTTTTTTGTCCTTTTTCTTCTTGTGTTTACCCATGATTTTAGCTGATTGTCAGCTTAATGAAAACACAGGAAAGACCTCTACAACGGATTCTTACAACTACATAAAACTTCAATGAGAATTTCTTTGACCTTTCTTGATCTTTCTTGGGCTTCTCCTATTTAATAAAGCTCTTTGTCTGTATAAGCGTCTTTTGTCTTTTTGTCTAGACACTCTGTAACTCTGACCAGTAACCATTACGATTGACGTAATGACCACGTGCCAACCATAACGATTGACGTAATGACCACGTGCCCTCTGTGACCTTCGACCCTTTTGTATGTGGTTCATGACAAGAAGTTAAGTGTGAATGATGCTTTACGTAATAGTGACAATAGTGATAGTCACGTCTCGTTGCAGAAAAGAGTCACGCGGACCTGGTCTGGCCGCCGTCGAAATGATGCAATAAAAAAGTGGGAAGATGTCGCTTTCTCTAGCTAAAAAATATATTGTCGTTGTCACAAAATGTCGCTCTTTTTCTGTCAGTTCCTGTCGGCTGTCGGTGTTTTTAAAAAAGATTGTCGCCACATTTTGAGGTCATGTCGCCTGTCGGTAAAACCCCTTGGAAGGCCTCTTTTCGCAAAGACAGCAGTTCCTGTATTTTAGGAACTCCCTCCTTAAACTTGGACAATCCGGTGAGAGACACCTTGATTTCTACAAAAGAAAGAATGATGAAGTTAACTTGATAGTAAACTCTTTATCTTTCTTACTTTCTCAGCCTCAGGAAAACAAAGAAAAATGACCATATTTTCTGTTCAGGCCTACTTATTTTAAAAAAGTGTTCATAGTTGTGCAAATGGGTATACCTTATTAAGCTTGATTGACAAGAAAATACTCTCCACTATCGGCTTTGTGTAGCAAACGTTTAAGAATTGTCAGTGATGAACTTTTCCTGGTTCGCATTTTTACAAAATGACCACCGGCTCAGCCGTGTTGTGCGTGTTTACATGTCATGTGCGCAACATTGAAGCTTCTTACCTAAAACTTGCCAGTGGAGTAAGTTCAACAAGTCTTTTATAGAGTTAACGTTGCAAGGTTAAAAGGCTTTAGCTTAGCTTACCTGCAACCTGCATTTGATACATCTCGAAACTTCTCGATTAAACATCAAAATTATTGCACGAGTTGTCCTCCTTTTCTTCAGAAGTTTTCCCCGTCCATCTTGAAAATTACCCAGAATACATATCGAGGACAATTGGCTGAGCGAGAGGGTCCTGGGAAGACATGAGTGACCAGTATCTTCTGGCCAGTCTCTCGCGAAAAAAGGCGGGAGAATTGTAATTGTAAACACAGTTCTTATAATGCTGGCGGGTTTTGTGTTGTTTTTGGTCAATTCAGCTTAAAATGTCTGACAAAGCTCAAAGTCGAGAGGGAATCGAGTTTTTAATAAATGGCGATGCAATGAAAAATAAATTGGAGTACGTTTGGGATCAAGCAGTAACTGGTGACCAAGTCATCCACATCCTGCAGATCAGGAATAGAGTGTTAATTACATGGGAAAAGCTAAAGTTCCCCGATTGTGAAATTTATGGTCATGTCGCCTGATATTTTGAGTCATGTCGCCCGAAATTTCATAATGCTCAAAAAGATTCTAAAAATGCTAGTCAGAGTGAAATGTGAAACTCAGGTTGTTTGTTTCGCTGTCGTTTTCATGGAGATAGTAAACCTAAAATAAAACACGAAATTTAAAAAGAAATAGTAATATCAGTTGCAGTATGGTTCTTACTGTTGTTTTTATATGTTGAAGTATTCTGTTTTGAAAGAAGGTCCACACCACTACGATTGGAACGTTCGAAGAGGCCGCTATCTTGACTACAGCACGTGCTCAAGAAGATTGTGACATTACGGTAAATTAAGACACGCATTAATACAAACATATTTATTGCTAGCAACTAAACCTACTTACACGCAAGGACGTGTGGGTTGTCCAAGTGACAGAGATTCTTGCTTGAAGTGCGCGATATTTTTTACGCTGGATCCTTTGAAGTTTTCTGGCGTTGAGTCGAACTTGGACGGTACACACAGAGGACTCTCGATGGAGCAGCTGAATCAGCAGGTGGAAAGGTAGATGAACTCTACCACCAGCGCGTCGGTTGAAGGAGTTGTGCCATCCCTCGATATCATTATTGGTACGGACAGGCTGTCCGTAGACGCTCCAGGAACTGGGTGGAAAAGTGTTGGTGTGATCCATTGGTTGTCTACATAGTCTAACAATTACCCTCTTTGTATATGGTTAACCGGATCAAAATTTACATGCAACCGGCTGAGGAAACAAGGAACAACTGAACAAGTCGCGATAATTTATGCCGCGTCTGATCCTAAGGGGAATGATGCGAACACGCTTAACAATAAACAACAAAAACCGCTGTAAAAGTTTCAGGTTGTTTTTTATATGATAAATCCAACTAAGAGAACTTGATGTAGTTTTCTGATATGTGTGAAAAATTCTGATAACTGAAAATGTTCCGCTTATAATTACTAGAATCTGTACTGTAGAATGAGCGGCTTAGTTCATAGCAACGAACAACGCTGCAATGAACAGCGATATTGGAGTCTTTGCTTAACTGCATATTTGCATAGGTTAGCGAGTCAACATTTTACGAGTTCATTCCTTGTGATTTACTTAAGATGTTACTTTTCTTCAAGTTTATACACTCGATAAAATTGCGGGCGACATGACTTAGGATTTCGGACGACATGACTATGCATTTCGGGCGACATGACTCTGGTTCTGGGCGATATGGGGAGGGCGAGGTGACTTTCGGGCGACTTGACCGGTTACCGAATTGGAGTCAATTCAGGCAGGTACTGATAATAAATTACAAATTTGTGTCTACAATGACAGTGTTGGGGTCTCTTTGTTTAGATGGATATTTTATCTCTTCCATTAACAGTTTCTTCTTGTCAGTGGGAGAAGTGCAGCAAATTCCAATTATGCCTGCATCTGGTGCAAGGTACTTAAACATGAAAGGTAATAAATAAAATAAAGAACCCTGTAGCAGTAGCTAAGAGGGGAAAAATGCCATTAACCCTTTTTTTAAACCCTTTTCGTAATTCAAAGCACCGCACACCACACAGTGTAACATTACACTGTGTTCATTAATTGTAGATTGTTGCGTTGACTGCCTTTTGTTTTCTTATTTTAGATGGGATATGTCCAAACCTGACACACACTACCACAGCAACCCCATGTGCCTTACCCTGGCTCAAGTAACAGAGTATGTTGAAAATGGGAAGAAGGAATTCTGCTGTATAAATCAACCTCTGCTAAACATTCCCCTAGACCACATTGTGCTGGATGAGCTACACCTTCTTTTGAGGATCACAGATGTTCCAATGAATAATCTAATTGAAGATGCCATCGAACGGGGTGACAAGGAAAGCATACTAATGGCACAAAGGAGGGAAAAGCTTGAGCGAGAGAAACATCTTCGAAAATTGGCAGAGACCATAAACAGCTGTGGATTGACTTTTAATGTATGGGAAAAGAAAAATGCTGATGGAAAGGGTTCTGGGACAGTGGATTGGACAAGTTTAATGGGGTATGAAAAACGGAAGCTTCTCAAGCTCTTGCCAGATAAATTGGTAGAGCAAACGGATGGAATCCATCAGGGTACAGCATCCACTGTTATAAAAATCTGGAGGGTAAGATTATTGTCTATCCAATATTCTAGATAAACTATATAAAAAGAAACATAGATTAACACCTTTCAAACTTCTACTAGGACTTTGGAAATATATATTTCAAGACCATTTCATCTTGGACTCCAAATGAAAGCAACAACTGTGGTAAACAAGTAAGAAACCTTTATTTATTTAGTTATCTTTTTAATGTTATTAAAAAATTTAACAGGGGTGTCCTTCTTTTGTTCTTTTACAACAACAACATACAAGTGCAAAGTCCTACAAAGTACTGTATATGTACTTCATCTTTATAACACGATCTATGCCATGATGCCTGCCCATCCTCGAGCTCTTGGACAGAAGTAAACCACAACTTTTTCCACACTTCTGTGTACTGAAGATTGCCGTATTTACTCCATTCCTCGATTGATACCCAAACTTTTTCATAAGCTTCGGGCTTTTCAATTAGATTTTCTTTTTTTTTTCCTTTGACAAATTATACATAAATGTAAATCTAACCCTTGGGCCTCAATTTCGTTTGTTTTTGAACCAGAATCCGTTTCCATATCTTCTTAAACACCACAAAACATGTTGCTCTAGATGGTCTGAAATCCAACATGGCGGACCCCTAAAATGATGAAAATGACCGCTGGCCAAAATCTTTGTTTTTCCTGATTTCATTGAGCTATTGATTTGAATATAGTTTTTAAACATGAAACAATATTCACTTTGATAAATTTAACTCTGATCAATTTTCGATACCAAAATTCATGCCTTTGATGCTTATTTGAAGGCAACAAATGACCAGCCTCGCTTTCGTGCAGTGTTGATCATGTGATCAATATTAAGTACTTAAGTCTATGGATATGTATTAGATAGACTATATTAAAGATTTCTGGTATTTTTGTGGAAATTTATTGTAGTTAATTGTGTTTACACGCTACTTTATAGTAGAGCCTCGATTCCATGTTGAGCCATATAGGTCTAAAAACAGGTCCCCCCATAGCGACCGCCAGTGCAGGTTACAAAATTGCCGACAATATTTTTTGTGTTCCTCAGGTTTCCCTTAACACATTTAGGTAGGTGGTTTGCTTTCACCAAAAAAATCCCACGGAAATTTATTTTATGACATATGCTCCCTGACTATTTCCTCTGAACAAAAATTTGAAAACATCTCCTCTAAAGTCAATTGTTACTGCTCCACGTTGCTTACTCTTTAAATAACTTTCAAAATGAACCCTCACTCGAGAAACTTCTTTCAACACGGTGTCTTCACTTGGTTGACGATTGTGAAAATAACTGCAAAACAAGATGTTTATTTTGTAGTTTACATTTCAAGGAGTAAATGTCCACCGCTGTCTGATTACTTACAAGTAGGTAGTGACTTTAGAGAATTTTAATTTTATCCAAAATCTTTCAGTAATTAAAATAATTCCATAAGTAAGTCGGAATTATAATATTCAAATTATCGATGATCAAATCCCGCATTCTCCTTGGTAATGTGACACATCAGCCTTATAATAAGAAGAGAATTTTTCTGTTGATGAGATGGTTGTTTCATTTACATTTTAAAGCAACGTGGTTCGTTTTCTTCGGTCATTTGAATTCGTAATATTGAAGAGAATCAAGGAAGTCTCTTAAAATGTACTTAAGAATTCAATGAATGCGCTACGTTTTCTGTTTTATACTTCACAGACATCTTGTTGCACTTACTTGATACAATTGCTTGTGATATTGCTCTCCGGTTCCCATGAACACTCGTAAGGAGAGAATCCCCGCCAATGCACCAAATATTCACGACCCTTTCAAGAAGACAGGATAGTCCGTTTGTTAGAATATAAACTCAACACGGGTTGACAAACTGAAGCTCTGGCAAAATCTTCCATCAGCGCTAATGAGCGTAACTTAAGCTTACTCCGTCCTTCGTTTCCCTCAATGCGATGAGTCTTTCAACGTCAAAATATTCACCACTGAAAAGATTTTTTCTTCTGAGTTTTGTTTTGTGTGGAACAGCCGTTGAAAAATTGTCGAGATCTTGATAAAAGTTTTTGCTGTGTGTTTGTCTTATTTTTATAGTGCAATAAAGACAATATAGTTCAGTAAAGACAACATGTATGTTTATTTTAATCCCTCATGCACTAAGGCGGTGGAAGAGGGTCTTCAGGGGCTCATGTATAAACTTATAATATTAATAATAACAAGAACAACAGCTAAGTGACAATGTACAGTTCAGTTCATCATGTTACGAGGGGCTTGTTTATAACACTCCAACATCCTGCTTGTGTAGTTTTAATGTACAGTTCAGTTCAGCATTTTACGGGGGGCTTGTTTATAACGCTCCGACATCCTGCTTGTGTAGTTTTGTGGTATTTACCCAGTAGGAACGTGGTAACCAACAACAGGTGTAGCTTAGTAAAACCTCCGTTGTTGCAAGACTATATAGTGGTTCATTATAGTCATTACGTACCCCTGTCATTGTTATGGTATGAATAGAAACCAATTTTAGATTGTTTTCACGGCTGCATGGAGCTTATTAAATTTTAGACTGCTTGGTTTTTAGGGGGTTTATTATATTTTCTAATCTTAGACTGCTCGGTTATAAGGAGTTTATTTTATTTTCTAATCTTGGGGATGTCACAATCCTGTTTTTGGGATGGGGGACAGGGTGGCAATATTTGCTAACTTATAAATTAGGAGATTTAGGGGAAATGGGTATTAAGAACCTTTAATAACATTATTTATTGATTTTAATTCAGCTTCCTCCACAAAAAAGGGGGAACAAGAGGGATGTTGAGGAAAACCAATAGTACTAGTTGTAGGATTGCTGTTATAGGAAAGGGGATATTTGGACCTAGCTCAGAGTGATAGATAAAGAGAGGAGTGATTGATTAAATACAGGAGCAACATAGGAAGTGGAGGACGACAGAGATGGGGCACATACCTTGTAATATGAAGAGAACTTGTCCTTCACAAGAGATTACACGAATTATCTTTTATTACAGCACGAAATATACAACACTTGGGCTCTGTATTCTTTCTGGAATAGCACATGTTGGTCTTATAAGATGTGCGAAATATATCTTTCAGACAAAATATACGTATCTATACATTGAAAAAAAAATTTTTTTATTGCTGTAGTGAAATCATGACAAATAATTTTGCAATAAATTAACTTATACTTGACTGTCTTAAATTATAAATTGCTGTAGTGAAATCAAGACAAATAATTTTGCAATAAATTAACTTTTACTGGAATGTCTTAAAATATCCATTCTTCACTTCTGAAAGGACGTGGTTGGCGGAACTGTCAAGCTGCCCGGCCATAAGTTGCAGCTGGGCAGCCACCCGTTTGGCTTCCATTGTGGTCTTTTTTATTTCATTTGCCTTTTGTTTTTAGTTTTCTTCTTTCTCTTTTAACTCTTTTTTTTTTCTCAATTTCGCTTTTCTTTCTCTTAGTTTTAAACTCTTCTTTTTTTTCACCCGCAATTCATTTTCTTTTTCCTCGATGTCATTTTTCTTTTCCTCCATTTCAATCGCTGCTAGGCAGGTTCTTATTTCCAGCTCTTCCTCTGATGATAGCTGTAAAAATGAGTGAGCTACCTATGATAATACGTCTACTACTGTAAACTTACGTTACCCAGGTCTGAACGATAAATAAGAGATGATGAGCTCATCCTTAAAAACGAAAAGCGTCCTATCTCAACGAAAGGTTGAAAGCCTTGTCTCATCAGGAGTTCAGAAGGCAATCAAGGAAACAGGTCAGGGAGGGTAGGTAGACAAAATTAATCAATAGCCGATGGGGAATAGGGCGGGTTTCGGAGAAAAGGCCTGTTTCTACACGTTTCGACGCCATTATGGTACCATTTGGCTGAGCCCTACGTGCCTTTTTGTTATTTAAGGATGCCTTTTGTTTGAAAATCACTACTACATACCTCTACTCTTGGTCGTTTATCTTTGTGGCCTATTGGTGTGTCCATTATGGTTGTCTATAGTTGTAAGGGTAAGTGAATCTTGATTGTTTTTATCCTCGTAAGGTATTTACATACTAGGTGTTTATATTTAGCTTAAACGCAGAGATTGAAAGGTTAGGAATGCTTACCTCGATGGCGAAGTTCGCTCTGTTGGGAAACGACTGGTGAACTTGTGAAATCTGTATAGGCTACGTGATTGCATAGATTACGTCAAGTTTTTTTTAAATTTTTCCAGGGAATGCAACTATTTCCAGTGCGCGTTGCGAGCGGAGTACTGTTGAATTAAATAATTGTTCGTTTTTCTTTGAAAATGTTTGAGGCGTGAGCAGAAATACTTACGTGCAATCGTTATTTTGAAACTTGCGAGAATGATTGTTTTGTGAAGGTGCTAAAATTGAACAATGTCTAAAGAATTAGAGACTTGGTTTGCAAAGGTTTTGAAATCTCGCTATATCACTACTGGTATAAGATGTGATTTGCAAAAAACTGATAGACTGTACAGTACGTTGGCACGGTTAAAGTTTGAAATATATAACTTAAGAAAGGAAGCAGATGTGGAATATACAGCTGTTTGTGGTGTAGTGACATGTAAGGATGAAAAAACAAGGCTGGTTCTGGAGGAAAAAGAGAAATGTATAGGACTAGAGTTAGCGGCCGTAAAGAGAAATGTTGATAATATAGTAGAGAGTAGGACGAAGTTAACTACTTCTGAAATTACAGAGTGGAGAAACAAGAGAGGACGAGATTGTTTTACCAAAACAAAAGAAGAAAAGACATGCCATAGGAGGCCTAGTAATTGTGGGTGAACTGAAAGACACTGCGTTGTTTTTTGTCCTGTGTAAAGGAGAGGGATGCCCTATCACAAAGTGATTTAAAATCCTTTATTTATAAGGATAGACTAAATGGTAAGGACATTACATTTGAAAGAGAAAGGCAACGTGATAGAGTGAATTTACACAAGTTTACTGGACGTAATGTAACCAAAGAGGAGCGACAAACTTTGAACTATGGGGGTGGTTTTGTTTTGAAAGGAAAGCCTACATCAGATGG